GGGTGTGTTGGTGTGTGTTCAGGTGGTGATTATGAGAGATTACCAGCACAGGAACGTGGTGGAGATGTTCAAGAGCGCTCTGGTGGAGGAGGAGCTCTGGGTCATCATGGAGTATCTGCAGGGAGGAGCTTTAACAAACATCGTGTCTGAGACCAGGTACCAGAGCACAACACTGACAAGCTCAGCATTTCTCCAGCAAAGCTGTTTCTCTTCCTTCTGTTTCATGAAAGACGAGAGAACTGTATTTCTTAGCCAATTAATCTTGAGGTTGGTTTTCATTGTGATCTCTATAGGATTTATGAGCAATATTTACCATGGGTGGGTTAGTCTTCTAGTTAAAGTCCCTGTGAGATGCCTTTTTGTAAATGCCTTTGACCAAAAAAAAAATAATTATAAAAAAATAAATAATAATCTGAATTCATGACTTCTGGAAAGTTCATCAGTGACCTTTTTAATTGAAATCAAATTTAAATAAAATAAAATCATAAATGACCTTAAATAAACAGATTTATTTTACATTTTGTTTCCAATATAATATGATATAATAAATATAATATAAAATTTTAAATAAAATAAAATGATATAATACAATACATAATTTAAAATTAAATTAAAAACGAATATAAGAAAACAATTTAAAATAAAATAATATAATAAAAAAATACAATATAACTTAATATAATATATAATATAACAGAACATAATACATCATTTAAAATAAAATAATATGATTTAACAAAATTTAATAAAAATGTAATATGATTTAATAAAAATGAAAATATAACTTAAAATAATATAATAAAATATATAATTTAAAATAAATGAATGCAATACAATATAATATAATTTAATATAAAACATAATAAAATAAAAATAATATAATATAATATGCACATAATTTGCAGCCAGCTAATGGTTGAAAGACTGTGAAGACAGACAACATGTAACGATGAATCTTTCACAATAAGACCAGAAATATGGGAAGTCATTTTCAGTCAATTTTCATGTCATATCACTTTAAAGTGACAGTTTTTAACTCTAATTCACTGTGATTGCAATTCTGCTGTTTGGATGAGCAAAACACAAGGTCAGGCTGGTCTCCAGGGTCTCTGCAATTACTGACTCAGTGTGGTATTACTGTAGTGTTTTATTCATACCACAAGAGGGTGATGTACAGTTAAGTCATGGATCTGCTCTGAGCTGTGCATGTATTCTGACACTCTACGGCCGACTTTAATTTGATTAGACAATCAGATTAGCGCATGTTGTGAGGACATGCAGGGGGAATTTGATTAGTGATCTAATTAGTTTGGTAAATGCATCTCTGTCTCTGTCTGGTGAAGGACTAGATTTACTTGATCGCACACAAATGTGGCTCTATGTCACTCTCCTCAGACATGAGACGGCAAGCTGGATCTGACCCGAGCAATTATATGACATGAATAAATGAAATAAGCCTGATGTGAACATATGTGAAATGTGAACATACACTCTAAAAAATGCTGGGTTGTTTCAACCCAACTTTGGGTCAAATATGGACTAACCCAACTTTTGGGTTACATTTTTTAATTAAATATTTTAACCCAACAGTTGGGTTAGTCCATATTTGACCCAAAGTTGGGTTGAAACAACCCAGCATTTTTTAGAGTGTATACATAGAAATATTGAATGTCTGTATATATCTATATAAATAACAATAAACCACAACAATGAAACAAATTATGGTCATGGTTATGCAAAAGAAAGAAATGTGAAAAATAATTGGTCAACAAATGAAATGATTATTATGAAATGATTTTAAATAAAATTAAATCCTTTTAAAAATTAAAAAAATAATAAAATAAAATAATTTTCATGTTGATTAGAAGACATTTTGTTTGACAAGCAATTATTTCACATTAATAAATTAATAAGGCTGCATCTCAAAAAGCTGAATTTGTTGAAGTGAATATCTATATCTATACATCTATAAATAATCATATGAATAATATATAAACAATAATAAATGAACCAAAACATTCCTTTAGAGCAAGTTAAACCTAATGTCATGAATATACAAAAGAAAAAAAAAATAGTTTAGTTGACATGAAGTGAGCCCAAAAAAATAATAACATAATATAAAAATGAAATAGAATAATTTAAAATAATAATTAAAAAAACAGTTTTATAATGATTTGAAAAAAAAATGTTTGACAAGCAATTATATGACATGGGTAAATAAATTATTAAAGTCTGCATCTCAAAAAGTTAAGTTAAAGTAAAAAGTTAAAAGTTAATATCTATATCTTTATGTCTATAAATAATATAAAAATAATAATTAATGAACCTTTACGGAAGACTAAACCAAATGTTGTGAATATAAAAAAGAAAAAAAACATTTAAAATGATTAGTCAAATAATAAAATAAAAAATAATTTAAAATAAAATAATTTTCAAACTGATTAAAAAAAAGAGTTTTTGTCAAGCAATTGCAAGCCTGCATCTCAAAAAGTTACATTTGAACTATAAATAGATTTAATAATAA